TCTTTCTTTTTTACGTTGCATTCTACTTGTCACGGAGGTGGAAAACTTTTCCAAGGAATCTATTAGTTCTCTTAAAAAATGGCAAGAAAAGTTTAAGAAAAGTTTGCGTTCTAACAGCGACTTTATGTTTCTAGACGTGTGGATATAACGTTTATATTTCGAATAATGTTAACAGGTAATTTTATTATTTGATTGTTTAGACTCACACTGATGTTACAATTATGATAAATCAAATGTTAGTGAAACTTAATTCGGAATCATAAAGTCGCTGTTAGAACGCAAAATGAATAGAAAAAAGGGTTCGTGACTTTTAGGATAGATAGTACTCGCCAAAAAATCAAAAAAAATTCTAACAAATATAGGTCGAAAAAATTAATAGTTCCAAAGTTATAAACGATTTTTTTGTTTCGATTGAAGAAACGAATTTCTTCACTTCGAGAGCTATTATTGCGTGTAAGTAATAGTTTATGTTATAATTTCTCCTTCTTCTGATTATAACTTTGAAAACTAATTTTTCGTCCCGTGTTTTATTATTAGGATTTTTTTATGTTTCGGCGAATACTATCTATCCTAGAAATTATGAATCTTTTTTTTCTATACACCCTGTATATTTTATAGAATTTCGTTCCTTTAGCAGCAAGCATATACGGGGTGTTTCTCCAATTCTTTTGAATAAATTATACATATCATTGTTGTTCGAAAAATTCGTGGCGTTCTTTGTGTATTGTAGAATGAAGAAAGATTTGTTATCGTAGATTTCTGATGAAATATTCATGTCAGATATAATTGAAACTGTATAGCGAAAAAAGTTAGTACTTGCATAAACATTAATAAATAAAATAAAAATTTAATAAAATTAATTGATGAAATAATTGACTAATTGAATGAAACACTAAAATAACTGATTTAAAAAAAAATAATTAAAATAAAATTAAACAGCAAAGACTAAATAATTAAAATAAAATTAAATAATAAAAATTAAGTAATTAAAATAATTAAACATCAATGTTAGTAACTACGTACTTAAAGAAACTTATTATTAAAAGGAGATTCCGTATCGCAGAATACAAAAGATCTATGTCAACGAAATTTATCACGAGAGATAAGTATAATATCACTAATAACGATCGCTTAATCCTTTTATGTTCTTTGAATCACTTTCAACGGAATTCGAGTCGTAATTCACTGTTGCTCAAATGTTTCTCAAGTTTCAATTTCTTAAAATTATAACTTCCGTGGTTTAGTCGAAAAAAAAAAAAAAAAAAAAATGAAAAATGAAAAAAATGAAAAAAAAAAAATTAAAAGGTTAAACTCGAGAGAGAAATGGGCGATCTATAGAATCTCGAACTGGCAATAAAAGACGTTGCGTTGCGTAAGCGCATCTCGTTTCCTCCAGTCGTACTTGATTCACTTTCCATATTTATTCGCCTGGAAGCTTGACCTTCGGCCGGACTTTACGCTAGTGAATTTAAGCTCGACGAGCATCGAAGGTTGG